AAACAGACTTCCCTGCAGGAAACAGAGGAGGAACCTGCTCCTGAAGCACCTATGGAGATCAATCCCACAGAAGAGCAAGACACGATGGACATTAATGCTGAAGATGGAGAGTTTAAAGAGAACAAAGAAAAAGAAAATAAAGAAAATGTAAGAATATTTATTGTGGCTGTTTAGGTTTCACAATGTCTATGGACATAAAATTCTGCTGTCTGAATCAGCCCTGCTGAAATGCAGCTCAGTCAGGTGTTTAAGTGGAACTCTGGAAGTTGTCTTTTGTCTTGCATTAGGATTCAAAAACTGAAAATGCAATCCAGGCAATAATGATTTGATAAATAATTACCAGTTAAAGTGCCAACTGTTTGTTTTGTTGTTCAAAGGTTCGGGAAAAGCAAATAAAACAGTGGGAGAGAAGGAAAAAGCTGAAAGAAGCTGCTGCTTTGCTGAGAGAGAAGAATGCTGATGGGTGAGTCTGCTTAGAGCTGTCGTAGTTTGGGAATGGTGCTCCCATTCCCAATTTAGTGCTCCCATGCAACACCCCAGAGAGAAAGATGGGACGTAGTGGCAGAGTAAAGAAAAGCTGTTCATGAGGTGAAGGTGGGCACCAACTTCAGGTATCTGAATTTAACAGTATTTATTACTGAATGTAGAAGATACCATTCCAGCTAAATTTCCACCTGTGCTGTTGTGTGGTAGAACATTGTTTGTCCTGGATCTGTTGGTTCAGTTCCTCTGATGAGAGTTGAGGTCTGATGTCAGGCCACTGAGGGGGAAAAGGAAGATGTTCATTGGGTATTTGGTACTCCTTTCAAGAAGACTTTAGAGATGGACTGTTCCATTTTCCTGACACTGTGGAAGCAGAAATTTGTTCACAGACCTGCCAAATGTTTGGAATTAGACCATCTCCCTCCCTCTGCCCCTTCCTGTTCCCCCCTCACCCACTGCATCCATTTTGTGCCTGGCCAGGCTCCCTGCTGGCAGCAATCTGTGCTGCCACCTGAAAAAGCAGCAGTTGATTTTGCCCAGTCTCTCAGCCCTCACTTCCCTTCCTGGAGTCTGGCAGAGCCCCTGGCAGTGCCCGTGCAGCATTCCAAGGCACAGGATGAGTGCTTCCTTCATGGCCTGCTTGGTTCATGATGGAGCACAGTTCCTTTGAGGTTTGCATTAGACACCCTAAATGGTCTGCAAACAACCAAAGTGGGAACAATTGAAAAAGAATTCTCACCTCATCTTTTCAATTTATAAAAAATTGAACATCAGCTTTTAAAGTTGCCTGCTCTTTTGCCAGGCAAGTTTAACTCTGCTCCAGTGCTGCACATTCCTCTGGAGAACAAATGTTAATTGATGGGGCATCTCAGTAGTGTCTGTACACTGTGAAAGAGTTTAATTAGCCCCTTCTTTCTGCACAAGCACAACTTAATAGCTAATTAACTAATTATCAAACATTTCTTGCAGTGTAGTTCAGCAGTGACTTTTATGGATTAAAACTGGAGATAGTGGTAGAGAATCTCAACCATCTGTAGATCCAAGTTATTGTGTGATGTTAAAATGAGGATGGGGAATAGAATATGAAGCCTTTAGGATATCAAGGACATTGTTTCTTTTTAAAAGGTTTTTAGTCATGCCTTTTAAGGATTTGTTCTCTCTTTAAATATTCTTTTTATATAAAACTATTAAATGAAGACTACTCAGTCTAAAGAGTCATGACTAAGCTTACATTCTAAGCAACATTTGGCCGTCACAAAACTTAAATTGTATTTGGAAAATGGTCTTGGGGCAGAGCAAGCAAAATGAAATTTCTTCGATTGTAAGAATTATTGTGGAGCCTGACACAGCTGAAGTGATTGTTCCTGCAATGCATTTAATATTCTGCACTTTGGGGAGCAATGCTTCAGCCTCTTAATTACACCAGCAGGAAGTAATGACTTGTTTTTACATCTGGGGAGTTGTCAGAGCAATGAAAACGTGCTGATGAGACACTTCTGAGCTGTAATTGATTGCTGTGCTAAGTAGGAGGAAATGCCACTAGGTGAGCAGGTTTCAGAAGCAGAAAACTAATGTGCATGAAACTTTTCTTCAGCTTAATTGTAGCCAGCAAGTTTCATCCCACACCCTTGTTACTTTCTTTACTGGAATTTGTTGCTCCTTCGAGGCCTTTTGTTGTCTACTGCCAATATAAAGAGGTAAATGGGGATGTTACTTCAGCTGTTACAGTTCCAGCGTGGTGCCATTCTGCTGTGTAACCTCCCCTTTGGTTTTCCTAAGCCGTTGTTAGAATGTTACACCAAGCTGAGAGAAAGAGGTGGAGTCATCAACCTGAAACTGTCCGAAACCTGGCTGCGGAACTACCAGGTAAGGATGGCAAACCACGGGAATGCTGAGGAGCAGAACGTTCCCTGAGAACGGGGGAGGTTGGTCTGGCTGGAGCAATGTCTGAGCTCAGGCATTTGCTCTACCCTAGAGCAGTGGGTGTTCTGAACAGCTCTAGTGCTTCACTGTCACCATTTCCAATGCAAAGGCTTTACTTTCTTGCACTGTATTAAACATGTGCTGAAATATTTCTAGGAGAGTGACAGGGTTAGTAATTCCTGATGTCCACACAAGGTGGGCCTGAGCAGGGGTCCTGTGTTAGGTGCAGTGAGAGCAGCACTGCAGTGTCCTGGACACAGGTAAAACCTCTGACAGCTGCAGTGACAGGGCAAGGAGGGGCACAGCTGGAGGGACAGTCCTTACACAAAGGTGTGATGTGGCTGCAGAAAGGTGACAGGGACAGAACTGGAAATCACAGAATCCCTTCAGGCTGCTTTGTGCAGCAGCTGTGGTTTCTTGCAGACTACCACTCTCACTTCTGGGCACATCATAGCACTTTCATGGGCCTCAAACCTTGGATTTATAATATAGATATTTATTATATATAATTTTTCTGCTGGCAATCCCATGAGGAAGTAGCCAGTGAGGCAGCAGCTTGTATTATTATGGATTTCTACAACTGGATTCTCCTCTGTGTATTTATTTTAAAGATAAATACACTTCCCAAATGGCTGTTTGTTGCTGTGGCTGGGAAAAAAATTTACATCCTATCCTGTAAGCTGAAATGACTCAGCATGATGTGTACACATGGAGTGGATTTTTACATGTGCTGGTTGTGGGGCGTGTTTTGGGTGTGTTTTGGTGTTGTTTGTTTGTTTAAAGGTTTTACCAGACCGCAGCCATCCCAAGCTGACCATGAGTGGAGGTGGAGGGTACCTCCTGTCTGGCATCACTGTTGTCTTGGAGAAGGACAAATGTGATTCCAGTAACTCAGAAGCACTCAAGATGGAGGAGCCATCATCTAAAAGATGCAAGCTTCAAGACCTTCCCTGTTAACATCTGGGCACTGACTCATGGTTTAGCTCTCAGGAGTTTAGTGAAATAACCAGTCCTTTCTGTGCTGTTGGCAGCACAGGGCTGTGCCTGTCGTGCATCTGTCAGAGAAAGCAGCAGAACTGCAGGGGAGGGAGGGCTGTCCTGCTCCTCCTCAGCAGTTCACACCAGCTGAACGTCAAGGAAAACCCTTGGGAGCAAACCAGTGATCCCTCTGAACTCACAGGAACTTCAAAAAGGAAATCAAGGGCAGACAAAGCCTCAGTGCAGGCTGTTTGTTCCTTGACAAATCTGAATATGAGGTAGTTTTTTAAAGGGTTGAGTTGGAATCAACTCATCCAACTTAGCTTCCCATTCTCCCAGAAAGGCAGCAGAGGAGTCTCCTCAGGATTCCACATACTGATCTGCTCCCACTTGGGACACAGAACTCTGCTCTGTTCAGTGATTTAAGAAAGCAGAATGAACAGCAAAAATCATACATTTTTTTTCCCAGAAGAACAATAAAAAGAGAAATCTAATACTAGAGATGACACCATGCTTACAGCATGACTCCACATTTTCCTAAAATAAATACAGAGGAGAAAGTGCATGTTTTTAAATTTAAATACAAAATATTTAAACAATGTCACTATTAATATTGTCTGTCATTTTCTGAGACATTTTCTGAGAGTTGCTGTATGTTTTTAAGATGTTACTATTTTGAAAACTGCTGTATGTATATTTATTTATTCTACTGTTAGATCTTTCAGATGTCAGGCTTTTTTTATTAATTTTTTTCAACTTTGCATTTGCCATTTCAATTAAACTACAGGGTGTTTTCCCTAAAGAGGTTTATCTTTTATCTTACTTTTCCCTCTTTTTGGAAATAAAAAGGTCCAGCATAGGCTTGAGGAGGACAGTACTCTGTTGGCTGCACCCCATAACACCCCAGTAGGGCCAGGAGAGCTTGGCCTCCATTCTGGAACTCCCTCATCAGTGTCTGGACTGACTGAACAGAACCTGGAGCTTTGGGCTTGATAAAGCTGTAAAACTCAGTATTTTGAGAAGAGTTATGGTCTTTTAGGGTAGCCTTAGCTGAGAACAGGGTTTGTATTTCATGGAAAGAAGCAGTTTAAGGTTCCTCTTGGGAGAACAGGTACTCTGCATCTTCAGGTTTTATCTACCTCTGCTTTTTGCAAACTTCCCACTGTTGTTTTTCTACTTTTTGGGAAGTTTCTCTTCTCTCTTCTTCTCCACCTTATGTGAACAGCCCATAAAATGAGAGTGTGTAGATTTCACAATCTCTTCGTTTTAGACAGCTGCTTATCCTAGATACTGTGACAATAAAAATCAATAACATGGGAAAAACATATTTGCATTAGATCAGTTTGAGAAGTAAACAGTGTTGGAACATATGAGGAGTGAATTTGGATCAAGGCCAAACTGGCTCAATTTCACCAGCAATGACTCTGACACTGTCTCAGCACTGAATCCCAATTTTCAAATGTGCCATAATCCTTGGAAAATGCAGTGAAAATGAGGAAGGAAACAAGAAATAAATCACTACTGAGATTTCAAATTCCTTCTTCCCTCTCATGCTCATGCAAACTGGCAAACAAGATGCTCACCCCATCAGCCACATGAACAAGGAGGAGGTTTGGTCCAAGATCAATGGTTTTTATTATTGCAAACTCAGACAAATATATTCCTGAAGAACACTAACACAATTATCTCCAAAAGCATATTAAAAATACCTGCCCACATGAAAGGCTATGTTACTAAAATTCATGCCATTCAGGTCTCAGGAGCATAACAGCAAATTAAAGACACTTTCAGCTGTGTAAATCACTACACGAGAGTGGACAGTGAGTAGAATTTCCTGGGCTTAGAGCAAACAACAATCCAGTGGCAGTGACTTTACCACAGAACACAGGACAGCTTCAGCCTCTCCTGAGGCTGTTGATCTTCTCTGCTATGTTCTGCAGCTCCAGATCCATGGTGGCCAAGTTTTCCAGCTGCTTTTCCTGTGAAAACACATCAAAGTTAACGCTGGCAAATGTTTTGTTCCAGGGAAAGGAGAGGAAAGGCCTTTTTAAAGGCAGAATCTGTCCTGCCACTTCCCAGTCCCTGGGCAGAGCAGGTGTGAACAGCAGTGCAGCAAAGACTTGGGAGACTGGTGCGATTCCCTGCTTTGGACTGAATACAGGCGGGAGAAAGCATCAACATTGTAATTGTGGGAGCTGGCCCCAATGCCAGCCTCATCCTTGCAGATTTCAAGCACCGTTACCCCATGAGGTGGCCTCCTGCCATGTCACAGCTGCAGGTGCTGTCTGCAGCCAGGGCACAGCTCTGCAGGTACAGAGCAGCTTTCTGCAGCCAGGTTTTACCTGATGACTTGTTAACAGCAACTGGCACCTCTATGAATCAGTGTCCAGCCTCCCTGCTCCCAGCACAGCTCTGTGCACTGCGCACACAGTGACACCCACCAGGAGGATCTGCCTGATGGCTGTAGGCTCAGTTTGATACTGGAGCAGAACAGGAAGTCCAAAAAAAAAAAAAAAAAAAAAATTCACTATGTGTGAACTACACATGGGAGGTGCAATGCAGGTTCTGCTCTGCAGTTCTGGCTGAGAAATCCATGGGCAGCTGATTTCCCTCTAAACACCTATCTCACTTTTCAGCTCGGTATTTTAAACAACCCACAGCCCCAAGTGGTGCTTGTCCGTTTTCTCTGCTCCTGCTGCAAACTCCTTTGTTCTGTTAGTCTGTAGAGCCTCGAGGGAGAGGCAGGGCCCAAAGAGGAATAAAATCTTTTCTGCCTTGCAGCAGACAGGAGCTGTGTCTTTATCCCACAAATTGGGCCCTGGGGTAGTTCAGCAAACTCAAAGTTCCACTCTTCAAAGAAAGCAGATTTTTAAATTACTGAAGATCTCCTCTCAAACTATGACTTAATCTTGTTTGTGTTTTTCTATGCACAGTTTCCCAGCTGCCTTGGGAATGGATTTGGCAGTGTGTTTCCCCCAGCTTTTCAGAGAAGCTGTGCACTTACCTCCTCATCCGTCAGGGGCCTCCGGCTGAGGCTCCTTCTGTCATTGCCAGCCACGTGACGTTTCTTCAGCTCTTCTCCAGAGCTGTACAGCCCTGGCAGTTCAGCTGATTTCTTCCTGTAGTTGAGAAGCTGTGCAAGTTGATCCATCTTCTTGTACTGCCTTTCCACATCGTACCTGTTTGTTTTGCCAGGATTCCTCTTGTCGGTGCGCCGGTGCTTCAGAGCACTCTGGATTTGCTTTTCTGACCACCACTCGTAGTCATTGTATTCAGGGAAAAGGCTCTTCTCACTCAGGGCGGGCCTGCCTTCCTCCCTGCCCTCTGGGAGCTGCTCCCCTGCACTGTCCCTTTTGTCCAAGTGCTGGCTTTTCCACCACAGCAGCGGGTAGAAAGGCCTGTAGGCTGCTGCAGTTCTCTTCTCTTTCTCTGCGGGGAGATGGCCTCTGTACTCACCTCTCTCTGCAAACCTTTCCTCCTCCTCATCTTCCACCTGGTCACTGCTGCGATGCTTCTTTTCCACCAGCTCCTGCTCCTCCTCCAGGCTGTCCTCAGTGCTGTGGTGCCTGCTGGCCTGCCCCCTGTGCTCTCCAGCCTGCTGGGACCTTTGGTGTTCCCTGCTCCGTGGGCGGGCTCTCCCTGCCACACTGCGCTGCTTCTCCTCGCTGAGGTACCTGGCCAGCTGCTCCTGGTTTTCATCAGCAGGGTACAGCCTCCCCTCAGAATGCTGGGATCCATCGTGCTGCCTCCTCTCCTCACTGCTCTCCTGGCTCTGGTGGTGCCTCTTGCTTTGCTCTTCCCTGCTCTCCTGGCTCTGCTGCCAGCTGTCCCTGTGCTCCTCACTGCCCTGCTCTGCAGGCCTCTCCTCCTGCAGCTCCTCGGACCCCTTCTCCTCAGACCCCTCCTGATGCTTCTGATGGTGCTTCCACTGCTCCCAGAGACTGGCCTCCCCTGCTGGCTCCCCCCTCTCACCACCATGGCCCCTCTTCTCTTCATAGGAGCCCCCCGCTCTGTGCTTCCCACCATAACCTTTGGCCTTGAAGGGTTCCCTTCTTTCCTCTCTTTCTTCACTCTCCTCGGATTCTTCACGCTCCTGCTGGTGGGAGAAGCCACGTTCCTGAGGCTCATGGTGGTATTTCTTACTCCTGTCTTCCTCTCCCTCCTCACTTTCCCGAATTTGCTTGGAAGGACTCTTCATTCCCTCCTCCAGGTGCCAGTGGCCCCTGGGGCTCTGATCATTCCCACCACGGAACTCATCCATGCTCACGCCCTCAGAGTGGGACTTCTTGGTGAGAACAGCAGCCTCGACATCCTCACAACACCTGCCCTCTTTGCTTTCCTCTTCACTGTGGTAATTTCTCTCTTCCTCTCTCCCGATTTCCTGGTACTGCTTTTTTTCTTCTGTGTGAAGTGTCTCATCCTGAGCAGGTGTGTGGTGTCCAGCCTCCTCCTCCTCCTCACTTTTACCTTCCTCACGAGCAAGTTTCTCCTCATCACCTCCTTCCAAGTACTTTTTAGATTCCTCTTCTGCCTGCCTCTGTTCTTTCTCCACACTCCCAGCAGAATGTTTTTCAGTCTCTGCTGGGTCCTTGGGATGCCTCATTTCAGGCTGTTCCTTTTCACTTCTCTCTCTGTCATTTTTATCACCTACAATAACAAAAGCAGCATCATGGAGTAATCCAACCCTCCACTGAAATGTTATTTCAAAGAGGTCACTGGCTTCCCAAAGTACCAAGGAAATTTGGACAGAATTTATTTCAAAAATCTGCTTTCAAAATCATTAGTTTGCCACTATTTTGTATGCTTGCCTGGAAAAGGATTAACTAAGTAATTAACTCCACTTAATTAGGAGTTTTACAAGTTCTCCTGGAATTTCCAGAATAAATTTCCTTCTTTGGCTTTTTTCTCGTGATCACATTTTTAGTACTGAGTCAAGCTAGCTCTCATTCCCATTAAAAATCCGTGGGATCTGGAGTTGTGCTCAGTTCTTAGAATGTCAGACCAGGCCCATCACAGATGCTCATTCACAATTAAAAGACAACCATCTATTCCAAGCTACCCAAAAACACTGGGGACTTTTTAAAACGAATTTTAATTTTTTTTAAAACTTGACTGGAAAAAATATCCAAGAAATCTGATGCTTTGCAATAGTTATGTTTCATCTTCTCAGGCTACCTGAAGAGTTTGTCAAGTCCTCTGAGTCTCCAGGTGGTTCAAGGAGGGAGCAAAAAGTGTCAGGCAGGAATCCCTGACAATTCCTAGGTCAGGCTGTTTGTTCCCTGAGCAAGACAGACTGAACAGAAGGGAACCAGAATTCTGGCACTGACATTTGGAGGCACCAGTTTCACACAGGCTGAAGTAACAGCTCACCAGCTCCAACACCAGGCACCAAATTCCTTTCCCAAGTTCAGATAAGGCTGTACTCACTCTTCAGGATTTCTTTGCATTCAGGATTGATGGGGGGTGCGTTTGGCTTAGACAGAGCGTTGGACAGGACCTCCACAATGCACCGGGTTACCTGGAAGAGACCAAACAGGAGAGAAAACCCTCATGGCAAAAATGGAAACTTGACTTCTGACCCAGCTGGTAGAAAAGCCTCTTGGAGATTGGAGTTCAGGCTACTGTTAATGAGTTTTCAGTAATCCTGTGCATTTGGGCTTGCCCCTCACTCCTGTACCAGCAGAACAGACAGGCCTTTTGATCTCCCCTTTTGTTTGCAGAGCTAAGGGGCTTCTTTTGTACCTTTTTAAATATTAAATACCCTTCTCAGTACAAAAGAGAGTCAAACACCATGTGGTAACACACCCTATAAAACAAACAGACACAACACATATTCAAAGGATGAGGATTATCCTGTAGGACCTGTCCAGATGGGGATGCTGCAAAGGCAGTTTGGACTGCCAATACACTCAAACACCTCCATGTCCTCTGTAAGGGACACACTCCACAGCTTTTCACATGGGTGTGCTCTGAGTCCTGCCTGGCTTTTAGCACTGAACACTCAACTGGATTGTCTGGAAGCAGAGAAAATTGATTCATTTAGGAAAGTCACACAATGTGCTCTAATTCTAAGCACTGCCAAAGTATCTCCTCTGTGTAAAATGGTTTTCAGGTGCTGAAGTTGATGGTGAGAACAAGTGCTCCTGTTTGCTGGGGCACAAGAGCCTCAGGCTGATGATCTGTGGGGATGACTGGGAGGAGACAGTGAAACATTGATAGAGCCATTTGTCTTTTAACTATTTTTGGTTATTACCAGGTGTTTGCTGATCAAAATGATCACAGCAACAACCAGTGCAGGGGGTCTGGTGTCAGGTCTGGGAGCAGCTGATGGCATTTATTTAATCACAGAGGCTAAGATCTCTTCCCAAAGCAGGAGAGGAAGGACCACATCAGAAAGTCTGTTACACGGTTGGTAACTGTAGGTATTCCACTTTCCCCAAAGCTGTCAGTACAATGACATGTACAGTGGGATATTTCAGATCACTTTTGAAGCAGCTGTACAGTGCAGGGCTTCACAAGGACCACGCTGCCACAAGAGCCAGCTCCCATCTCCACCAAACACACTGAAGTGCAGGCAGGCATCTCCTGGCAGCTAAAGGCACTCTGAGTTCCACACCAGCCATGAGCTTTTAAAAAATTTACCCTTAGGGAAAAAAAATGAAGCATTGCCCTGAGAGTTTAAAGAAATGGAGAACACATCACTGATATTTTCTGAGGTTGGATTGACAAGCAGCTACTCACCATTTCTTCAGTATGGTCTTTTTCCACTGGAACTGTGCTGGCGCCTGGAAGAAAAACCAATTATTAGAGATCCATTAACACAAGCATCGCTGACAGGAGTCCTCAGTCAAAATTGGTCTGATGAGACAGCTTGGGTTTTGGATTGGCAGACAACTAAACCAGGCACATTCCGCATTAAATCTTTCCTTATTTGGATGGAAAAGCCACGTAAAATTGAGGCATAGCATGAGAGAAGAGCCATGGTAACACTTGTAGCACCAAAATAATATACACCAAGAATAATCCCACACACAAAAAATGCAACACCAAAGAAAGCCACATTCAAATTCCAAAATGGAACTTTACTTCAAACCAGGTCCTTATGTCATTGTACCTGTTTGATGGTAAAAAAAATAAACCAACCCCAACAAGCAAGGCCTGTTTGCAGCCCAAGGATCTTTTGGCTTCTTGAAGAAGCTCTAGGTGCACCCCCTGCCAACAGCAGACTATTCTTTAAGACTTCAAAGCAGCTAATGTCCCAATCCTGCTGGAGAAACGTTGTCTCACTTGGAGGTGACCCCTGCAAGGATGGAGAGAGCCAGAAGGGACAGAAAAATTTCCATTCACTGAGTGGTCCATTATCATTCCAAGAAATAAGCAAAACCCCCTCAAATCTCAGTGGAAAACTACTCTGGAAGGAAGCAGTACAACCCATCCCTCTCTCTCTGCCCTGAGGACGTGTGGGGTAAACTCACACCTCCTCCTTACACCAGTTCTGCTGTACCTGGGCAGCTCCTGCCAAGAAACCCTCCGTGCTGCCTGACTTTGCCATCACTGCTGCAATGCCTCCAGCTGGTTCATGAGCTTGGCTGCTGTGTCACTAATAAACTGTGTCAATTGCCATCCACCTGGAGCTTTCCAGGAGGGAGGTTAAGCACCTCTGGCAGCCCCACAGCAGTGTGAGGAAGCAGGGCCTGTTGAATCCTGGCTGTGCAGGTTCCCACACGGTGCAGAATCACAGCACACACATACACACAGCTTGGGCTGCAGCTCTGAAGTCCTGGCACGGGTCAGGAGAGTCCTAAATACAACCATGACCCCTCTGGCTGGGTCAGTGAGAGACCTCCTGAAATAGATGAACACACAGCACATCATGGAGATAAAAGAGCTCAGTTTGACCTCTCAGCATCAGGGGAATGAGCACTGCCCCAAGGAAGACAGGAGCACGTAGCCTTACACTATTTAAAGCAGCATAACCTTTTTATTCTCTGTGCTGGCAGAGGAAGTAGACATCCCCTGGAGCACTGACTCAGAGTGGAATAGCTGAGCATCACACACTAATAACTCCTGCTATTTCTGTGCTGTCCCCCGAACACACACGCAGGGGTGTGCTGCTTCTCCAGCCCCCATCCCTTCCTTCCCTGCGCACACGAGTGCCTTCAGAAGGGAACCCACACAAGGAGAGCACAGAAGGGATTCCCCTAAAATAGCACTGCATTCCCCCAGAGTGCCAGGTGGTGTGTGAGGGGAGATGGTGCTGGGAGCCAGCCCTCTCCCCCATCTCTGGCTGACTGAGGCGGCTCCGGGCTCCTTTCCTAAGCCAGTGTGCAAACCGTTACCAGGCTGCTGCGGGCAGGAGGAGCAGCAGCACATGCACAGGGCAGGGGACAAAGCCCCTCCCACCAGAGGTGCTATTCTTAAAAAGACATCCTCTGGCTCCCACAGGTGTTGGGGATGCTGCCTTTACAGCAGGAGCTGCTCCCAGGCTCAATGAAAGCAGAGCCCCTTCACAGGCTCTTTTTGGGGAGGCTCCTCTGCTCCTCCAGTCCCTGAGAAAAGCTGACAGGCTCCAGGGCAAACATCTGATTTTGTCCTTCTAGTGATGCAGCCACAGCACATCTCCTGTGAGTGATACCCAGGTGATGGGATAAAGCACAGAGCAAACTCCTAGGCATCTTTTCCTACTTCAGGCCACCCCGTGAATGCTGTCAGTGGCACAGAAAGAAAAAGTCAGGTTGTACCCACTGTCCTTGCTGTCATTCAAAAGCTCCCAAGAGCTTGTTTAACACTGAAAGCCAGCATGAACAGAGAGAGAGCATCGTCACGACAGCAGGAGAACCAAATGCTATTGGACAAATGTCCTATTAACCTGTCTGGAGAAACAGAATGAGCCTCCAGCCCATGCCAGAGCCTGAAATCTCACCCTGAGGCAGCTGCCCTGCCAGGGCTGAGCCAGGAAGGCGGTGGGGAGCCAGCAGTGCCCCACTTCAGCCGGGCGTTGGCAGTGCCAGCCCACGCCAGCTGGCAAGAGCTCCCCTGGGGCCACCTGCCACCTGGAGGTGCTGGCCAACACGGCTGCCCCCCTGTCCAGGAGGGGTGAGGCCATCACCATGAAGGGACAGCAGGCTCAGGCAGCAGGGCATCACCCGAGGGCTTGCAGAACACAGCAGACGGAGCACGGCGGGATCCAGAGCAGAGCCAGAGCACTGGCATGGAAACCCTGCACCTGAACACAGAGCAGGGAACGAACCACAGCCCCACTAAGCAAAGCCAAGCCCTGGCTCTGTGAGCCCTCCTGAGTCAAGTCTGCCCAAGCAGTTACGATCAGATTATTTGATTCTGCCTAAGTGCTGAGTGGTGATGAATATCATGAGAAATGATAAATGCAGGACAAATTCACAAGGATTTTGCTTGCATCTCCAAGATTAGAATAGATCTTCAGGTGGGTCCCTGATGAAATCCCCACATGGCTTTGTTTCATCAGTGCAGATGACTCAGTGCAGTGTCATTCCTCATCAAAATGTCACAGTGTCTTCCTAGGCAGGATCACTGAAATTCAGGCATATTGATTTGCAGGAGTACTAGAAAGTTCTTGAATTTAATGTTCAACCAGTTCCACATTTGAAAGTGCGACAGCCACGAAGGATGTAAAGAATACCTGATCTGCTTGATGGCATAAATAGGAAAAAATATTTGGTAATAAACCCCCATAGCCTCTATGGTATAAGTGTGGTGAGCTCCTCTGTGTTGGGGTTTCTTCCCCTCCGAATCCCACCCTCCCTCTTTGATTTCAATAACGGCACTTGAAGGCAGTCAACTTCCTCACAGTCTCTGTACAAGTCCCAGAAGCGTGGAGACTTCTAACAGACCTAAAGCCAAAATACTCAACCCAGAATGACACCGACTCTTTCAACCAATGATGTAAGTATGCATAAAACAGTGTAGAGCCAAGCCACCACCTCATTCTATTGTGCTTAAGGTTCATTTCACCGTGCGGTTTTAGTATTTAATGCCGCGTGCCAAAAATAAATAAAAAAACCCTGTTGGTTAAACCCGCAGAGCCGCTACTTTGCCATCACCTCCCAGCATCCAGCGCCGGCTGGCAAAACCCCAGCAGCACCGCTGTAAGGAAGCGGCACCGCCAAGTCTTTGTGCGAGGACGCTGCGCTGGGATAAAAATAAAGGCGGAGCAGCGCGGAGCTCTCGCCCAGCGCCATCCCCACCGAGCCCGGGCTCGGCTCCGCACCCCGCACCCAGCGTCCCCTCCCGGAGCGAGCCCGTGCATCCCTGCCCCGCTCCCCGCCCTTCCCGGCGGGATGTGCCCTCGCCCCGCTCACCTGCCAGGGCGGCGGCCGCCAGGAGGGCGAGCAGCGCCCGCGGCCCCATGCTCGGCTGGGCTGGGTCTGGCCGGGCTGGGCTCGGCTGGGCTGGGCTCGGCTGGGCTGGGTCTGGCCGGGCTGGGCTCGGCTGGGCTGGGCTCGGCGGCTCCGGCGCGGTTTAAAAGGGGACCGGGGGCGGAGGAGCGGGCGGGGGGCCGCCGGAGCTGCGTCACCGCGAGCCCCCGGGGGCGGTGCCGCCCCCTCCCCTCCCCTTCGGAGGGGCAACTTTCTCACTGCTCCGGCAAGCCGAGCTCCTTCTCCCCGCCTCGGCACCTACCGCAGCCGCCCTGCCCGCCCCCCGACTCATGCTCCCAACGGCCCTGTGCATCCCCCGCCCCGCCGTGCCTCAGAAAAGGGGCAAAGCGGGGCTTCCCTGCCTCTTTCTCCAGCTCACAGGACGCGGCAGCATCCTGAGGTCTTTCCCCCCGTCAGAGGATGCCGAGCCTCCGCCGAAGGGAGGAGGTGCGGTAACCCATCCCTCTCACACAGCTTCCACAAGAAATCAGCGCCGCGCCTCCACACCCTTTCCCGATCTGAGCCTCTTCAGGTGCTGCAGCCGCCTTTTCTTCCTGCAAGGTTTTGGTCCCTTCCCCTCCTCTCACAGCCTCCCCCCATCCAGTACACCCAGACCCCGAGAACGACTGGGATGTAATCCCAGTGCTTATGGCACCCGGGGAGGCAATGGCACGCAGTATTCCCCAAGAGTTCTAGCAGGGAAATCACAGCTCTCAGCATCCATCTCCGCAGGCAAACCTCTTATTTACTCTGATGATGCTCTGGGGAGCCAGAGGAAGCGTACAGAGATCAAGTTTTACATCGTTTCCTTTAACAGCCCCTGCTGTCCCAATTAATCCTTAGTGGAATACAAAGCTTGAATGACAAGTTAAAATGAGGAAGTCTGAATGGTCCACCCGGTTCCCTTCAGAGACCAGCAAAAAGCAGAATTCCTTTTGGTTTTCATTAACCCTCGGAGGGCCATCTCCAATTATAAGTGTATTTATAGTTTTCTTTTTTCTTTGTCTCCAGAGCCAAGCAGATGGCCCTCTAAGTGCCAGTGTTCCTGGAGGACAATGGATCTATACACCCAGCTGGCAGCTCCCTCTGATATCAGTCTGTGTGCCATTCTATTGTCCATTAACAATGGCAGGCTGCTACAAGCACACAGCCTTTAAAGACAGAAAACAGGACACTAGCACAGTGCCCCAATCCAACTCACCAGCAGGAAGCAGGAATTCCAGCTCCTTTTGAAGCCTGTTTCAGGAGACAGCCTGGAGGGGACACCAGGAGGCAAAGCCGGACACCTTGCTCAGCTTGCATTCAGTTTACAATTTCTGCAAAGTAACAGAAGTCAGTCACCTGGCCACCATGGAAGACAAGCCACATGCAACATCCCCCAGTGTCCCTCCTGCATGCTGTTCTGTGCTGCCTATGCAGCCCCATCTCCACAGGCAGGAGATCTCATCTTTGGAGATGAGATCTCCAGTCTTGGCTTTAGGAAGTCAAGAACCTGTTACAAAAGGCTGACAAATTTCCCTGGCTCCAAGGCCCCCCTTGTCCTCCCCTGTCTGTGTGAGGATTCAGCCTGGCCTCAACTTCTTTAGTTGCTCATGAGAAAGAATTTTAAGTGAAACATTTGCTTTTTATGTGTTCTCTGCTTCTGCAGGCATATAAATAGCATGTTTTGCCATCAGTTACATCAGGGTCTGCATAGGAGCACCTTCACACCTTCAGATTTGATTTTTCAGATTTTTTCAGATTTTATCAGGTTCGAGGCTGCCAAGACCTGCAAATGTTGTAGGAGGTCTCTGACAGGAGTAGGGACAGAACTGGCTGGAGTATATCCAACTCTGTCTTCAGGGTAGGATTCCAAAACAGGATCCCACAGACTTTTCTGCCAGCACTTGAAAACCAGAGCATCCAAACATCTTGCCCACAGTTAATTAAGTCAGCCTCTGTTTTTAAAGCAGTGTCACTTCACATGGACTTTTACAGCCAGGGATCAGCTGGGGTGAGTTTCTCTGCAGATCAGGAGAGAGCTGTGACTGCACTAAATCAGGATTACTGCAGGCAAAGGCACATTTCATTTGATCAGCTGTGAGTGGCACCCCCCAACCTCCTTTCTCAGATGTGTCAGTACTCTGATCGCAGTGACATCCACGCCTCACAATGTTGTGACAATCTATTGCTCTATGAATAAACAGTATTTATCCTGTGGGATTCTCTCAAATACAAATGCTTTAAAAAATACACATTTGGCTCATGCTAGAAGCTGGAACTTCAAAGGATGACAAGCAAATTTCTGTGCCTGAGCTCCTTCTAAATTGAGAGGAGACTGCATGAGGAAAATGAGGATTGCTCTTCTAATTAGGTGTGCTAGTGGGGATTATCTTCATTCTTACATGCCAATTAATTTTCTCAGCATTAAAACACTGCAGCCCATTTCATGAATAAACTCATCTCTTTCATTCAGGAGGTGCTAAGAGGATGGGTCTAGAGAAAGACAATTGCACCTAAAGGCCACCACCATCTATCCAGTTTCATTAACAGAACCAAAATCCTTTCAGAAACCTTGCCATATGCAGTGCTCATTGCAACTTAAGGGATGATGGAGCTGCACAGCTGAAACATCCTTAGCACGTGGTACCAGTGCCCAGCAAACTGAGCTGCAGCTGGGACCCTGTGTGCTGCAGATGGGTGATTTCTGTAGCATGGACAAATACCTTTTTTTGATTTTCTGTATTTATACCGCACCTCACACTGTGGGGTTTTATTCATGCCAGTGCAGAAACAGCTGATGGAACTGACTTCCAGTCTTTCATTGTCAAAAGACTTTCTTCATTAAAAAATCCAAAGTATTTACAGGGTATTTTTGCTTGAGAACCTTAAAAAGTCAGTCCAACTCTTCCTGAATGGTCTTTCTTAGTCTTCTTAAAACAAAGAAAAAATGAGGGCTTACATGTCCACATTTCACAAACAAGCAAACAATTTTTCACATGTGGACATTTCACATGTCCACATTCCACAAACAATCAAATAAACAAATTTTCTTCACTTGTAACCCTCTTCTCTTCCATGTAGGGTCCTTCTAGCTCCTGTTTTTCAGTGATGTATCTATTCCACAGAAATGAGGTCAAATATTATATGGCCTAACTGAAAACAGTTTAAAATAAGCCTACAAGGGATGTCATAACTATTAAAGTGGTATGAAAAATACATGCACAGACCTGCTGTGGTCTTCTGGAAAAAGCCCTGTGCTACCTGATATAAATCCTCAGGGCTTCTGGATACACTCACAGGCTGCAGAACAAAACAAAAGAAACCACCAAACCCAAAACAGAGGTGGGAGAGGAAGAGCAAGTATAAACACAAACACTTATCCAGCATCCCATGTTTTCCACAGAACATTTTCCCATCTGCTGCTCACACATACCTCTCTTCCTCTCCAGTCATCCTTCTCTCAGCTTAAGTCAGATGGCAGAAAACTGGATTAATAAGTTTAAAATAATAAATAGATAAATAAATAAATAGCATATTTTGGAGCCATGAAGTGCTACTTCCTAGGCCCCTCCCTAGTAGCAACCCTCTGGCATTGCTTGCTCCAGGCAGGAAATGCAAGTTAGCTCCTGCAATTCCACTGGCAAGTGCCTCCATGGGGAAGATGACACAGATGGGAACCAACAAGCACATCTCCTCCTGGAACAGAAAGTTGGAATTTGCCTATGTGGGCACCACTGGCATTTTTAGTCACAAGACTTCATTTTTTCTGTGCTGCCACTTCTCACCTGATTGTCTGTCCAAAAATGATCTGCTGGACTCCAAGTCAAAACCTGGAGTTTTGACTTGAACTGGCCGGTTCATCACTCCAGATGAATTGGGCATCAAGCCAAAATGCAGCTTTTGGATCCTGAGCAGGGGCACAAGCAGCCCTGACAGATTTCTCATGGCTTTACAAATCGGGCTGTGACTGAACCTTCTCCCAGCCTCAGCTGCCACCAATTGCCTTGCTGACAACAGAAGCGACCTCCACAGCCCCGGGCACCTCCTCCTGTACCAGGGGGCAGTAGGAGCACCCAACACCCTCCTGAGCAGACCAGGAGTCCTGGCCCATGCCCAGGAGCTGCCTCCACACCTCTCTGGGCTGGCTTTTGGAGGACTGGCATCACTGCAGGGCTGAGTTCCCAGGCAGGGGATGCCCAGAGAGCAGCTGGAGATGGCTGGAGCAGCTCTCCCCCTGCAGCTGGGCACGGCTGAGCTGCCACCCAGGTGCTGCCCCAAAGAAAACCCTCCCTCAAACAACCCCTGCCAACCCCCCTGACCTTTATTTACTCACACTGGTCAATTAACCTCCTTGGTGAACTCTGGGGCCTCTGTAGTAGAATAAAGAACAGGATAGAAATTTCTTTCAGCAAGAGAAATGTGGACATGTAAGCCCTCCTATTCTGAGTACTGCTTGTCATTAAGCAAAAAATTACTTTAACAGTTCTCTTTGCACTGCAAATAATTACATTTAGGCCATTAAATTGCCCCATTCAGTGTTTCTGCCTGCTTTTTGTCAACTGTGCATGTTCCATTTAATATTTAAAGACTGGGGCACTACTCTGGCTTATTTAGTAATTAATTTCTTTAAATATTTATAGCACTTTGACTCTCAGCAAGGGTTCTATTTGGTAAGAACAATACTGTTCTGTGGTTGATAGTGTCATGGAAATTTCATAGGCAAATTTCCATTTTGTAACATAAAAACATATAGATTTCTGCCACACACTGTAATGGTTTCAGAATAAAATTTTTATTACTGAACAATGTATATACTGAAACAAAAATCCAATTATGCCCTTGCACATAATTGCAGACTGAAAACACAGTGTTGAGAGATCTATTTTATGCCAGCAGTATTCACACAGCAAAAGGAATCACCCAAGAAATTTTCCATCACCTTTTTTTTGAATCACCACTGGCACAAAGAACAAAACTTGATTGCAAAAAAAAAAGCCTAGGAAAGAGAGAGCAAAACCTACAAAATGCAGGAGAATATTTTGCTAGCATCTTTCCTCCTTAAGACTATCCTTTTCTTTTTGCATACCCTGATTTTAAGACTTTTAGG